CATGTCTGTTTCTGTTTGAGTTTGCTCCATGTTAGAGAAATCTATAACTGGTATTGTAAAATTTACTGATATTATATTTATAAAGAAATTAAATGAAGCCTCAGTCATCTGTGTTTATTTTTCTGGTGCTGAATTTTTGTTGCAAAACTCTGAACACAGTTGCCTTTTGAAAAAGTATCTTTGGGACAACCATGACCTGGATGATTGAGAATCTCTATAGACATCTCTCTCTTTTTGATCATAGAAGACTGTACTTTGACCTTTTCTTGCAGGATAGCATATCTTTGCTTTCTCTGAGATCTGGCACACAGTTTAGGCAGAACACATTGGAAAACCTTGTCTCCTTCTGAGCAAGACTTCTTCTTGTCATGCTCTGGCTTGATGGCTACATTAATTAGTTTGTAGAAGCACAAAAGTAGTGTATGGTGAGACACAATGCCACAGAGATAGTCAGGTCACAAAAAAGTAGGATGGCCCAACGAAAGTGGTATGTTAAGCTTTGCTGGTCCAATTCCTACTGGAATTAAATGCTTGGTCTAGTATCCGTAAGAGTTAGTCTGGTATCCATTCATTATTGTTGAGAGACTTAAACCTGATCCAGTTATGCAAAATATAAAGATTAGACCCAGGATCTAACTGAATTTACCTGAGCCCACAATCAGAGTGCTGAGGATTTAGCTGAATTCCTAATTATATTCATAAATCAGCAGATATGTATTATATTATCCTCAAGTTACCATATTAAAGTTGTTGGCTGAACACATCAAAGAGATTAAGGAGAATTAAGTCCAAACCACATTAGCCTTACTACTCCAGAAGACTTCAGATGGGCTGATAGTTTAGCTAGGTGATAAAATGTGCCATTCATGTCAATGCCAGACAGGTCATCACTTCATACAATCTTTCCCTCCCCAGCATTATTACTTCTGCAGAAACAATTTTCTAAAAGAATTATTTTATTCTTACCAAACAGTTTCTGTCCTTGGGGGCCAGAATGGACACAAACAATCCTGCCCAACTCTTGTTTTAAACACACTGTTCAGATTATATTAACTATTAATTGAGATGGCACAATTTCTTCAGTTCTTTAGGATTCAGTCGAGTTTATGAACACACACACACACACACACACACACAGGATCAAATATGAAATGATCATGGAATATATTGAACTTATTTCCAGTATTATTTGACTGAAATATTATTTAATTGGCAGAATTAATTAGAGGAGGATGGTTTTATGAATTCATCATGCATTAAAAAAATTATGTTGATCATATACCTTATACCTTATTCATAGCTACCCATGCTGTGCATTATTTATAAAATGTGCTAACCTATTAAAATCACACTTCTTCTACCTAAGATTGGTTTACCCTACTTATGTGTTCCCCTGACATATTAAACATTCTTATGAAGATTGATATGCTTCATTTCTGTGATGTTGTGTTTCTGCCTATTGTAGGGATAGGCTTAATGACTGCAGAAGCACACATTGGATCACATAGCATTAGATAACATCAGAACATCAGAATAATAGATTGGGACCTTGGAGGTCTTCTAGTCCAACCCCCTGCTCAAGCAGGAGACCCTAAACCATTTCCGACAAATTGTTGTCCAATTTCTTCTTTAAAACCTCAGTGGTACAGTGGTTAGAGTGCAGTACTGCAATCAACTCCTACTGCAATTTGGCAGATCAAATCTCACCAGGCTCAAGATTGACTCAGCCTTCCATCCTTCAAGGTGGGTAAAATGAGGACCCAGATTGTTGGGGGCAATACGCTGACTCTGTAAACCACTTACAGAGGGCTGTAAAGCACGATAAAGCAGTATATAAGTCTAAGTGGTATTGCTATTGCTATTCACAACCTGTGAAGGCAAGCCATTCCACTGATTACTTGTTCTCACTGTCAGGAAATTTCTCCTTATTTCTAGGTTGGGTCTATTTTTAATGATCTGACACCTGTTACTTCTTGTCCTGCCTTCAAGTGGTCTGGAGCTTAGGTTGACCACACACCTCTCTGTGACAGTCCCTCAAATATTGGAAGCATGGCTGGCTGGGGAATTCTGGGAGTTGAAGTCCCCACATCTTGAAATAGCTTAGATTGAAAATGCAGGATGCCCAGATTGGAAAAAAAGGCTTAATGAATATTACAAACAAAACAAGCTGAACCCAACTTCTAAGTGACTTCAGACATAGCCATATTCACTAGGCCCAGCAGCCCTCACCCCTTGGGTGGCACCAATGGGTGCTTTTCACAAGAATATTGAGCGGTATCCTTATTGATTCATTACGTTGTTTCTGACAAACCAGCATTTCACAGTCCTCACTTCTCTGCTTCCTTTCAGAAAATCATGGGTTACTGTGGTTCAAGAGAAGAACCATTGCCACTTGAGAAGAATCCATCCAGTGGGACGAACAAAATGCTGTGAAAATTGGCTGCTCTGTTCTGCTGGCTTACAGTGCTATTAATGTGTATTGTGGGAATGAGGTCCATGTCATTATGGAATACACAACTGAACACATCCATTTCAAAACAGATAAAGGTACCTCAGCTATTCATTCTTAGGAAATATAGAATTTCGTGCTATTCATGTGTCTAGTAAGGTGTATTACTATACACTGTCAGAAAAAAACTGTGTCAGTCCTTCAAGCTAACTGAGTCACACTGTAAGAAGAATTGTAGGAAGCTAAGTACACATATTGTAGAGCTGGAATTCTTGATAATTAAATCACAGGGAATGGGGAGAGGGGAGATACTGATTTGTACAACATTCCCTTGACTTCAGGGAAATTTCTTATTACATTGGATGCATTCTGATTATGCACACCAGATGTAGAAAAAGAATGCACCTTTCACCATTTTGAATCAATTTGGATATTCGGAAAGGAAGAAACAAATAAGAAATACTAATACTCGTATAAATACTAAGCCCAAAGGACCCTTTTTATTTTGTTTTCTATCTCTGCAAGCTAGGCCCTGTGATATGAATCCAGACAATTGCTACTTCCATAATGGAACAATAGTTTAGTATGAAATGGGAATCCAGCTGGTGCCTTGATAAAAACTGCAATATTTTCCTCAAGATTCTCCCAAGACCCAAATGTTGTTTTCTACCCAATAACTTCCCAGCTCTGTCTGTTCTGAAACTGCTGGAATTATGCAGATTTAATTCCCAGGCTTGTAGTGGCAGGAAATTACATTTTTATTCCCCCATTTTTTAAAAGACAATGCTAGGAAATCTAGTTCTCAGAATTTTTGCT